CTCCTTGGATATGGCCTTGATTAACTATGAAACTCTTAACTTTTTACAGAACAGCAATGTAATTTACTCTGCCTCTATTATGTAGTGAAGGAAGCTGTATCAAAAATATTGGTGTTTGGCAACTGTGCTATAAATTTATTCCAAAAACACACAATCACAATTTACATAGAGCCAATGAGTCAAAAAAAAAAAGTCAAAATAAACTTGCTCAATACTCCTAGCTAAAATTATTAGCTATTTCATAAGGTAACTAAATACCTGTAGCTAAACTTCCCACTGTATGGACTTTTTTCCAGCATCTTGTGGATTATAACCTTTTATCAAAAGGTCAGGAACAAGTTTTCTAGCTTGTCTCTTTCTTACACAACTGCCTGCAATTTCCAAAAAAACAGTAGCTCTTCCGTAGGCAGGAAGGAGGTTGGGGGAATTTGTCTTTTGCTAACTTCATTCCCAACAGTATCGCAGGACTTCAATACATCTGCAAGTTATTCAAGGCTGAAGGAAAATGGGAAGCACTGCATACTTAAAAGATTATAGTTTGGAAAGAAACTGAAATATGGGATCGCTTGTTCAAGCCCATCAAGTCTTTTTCTCAACCCATTAAATAATGTAGGATTTATCAACCTTTCATTCAGTAACATAGGAAGCAAATTCAAATATAGAAAAAGGAAGCATAATATTCCTCTGATAATTTCTTTGCAAGAATTACATTTTTTTTCTGGGCTTGGCCTTTGAAAAGAACATCCATCCAAGGTTTTTGAAACAAGCAATGCACACTTCAGCATTTCCTGTAATACAAGAAACTTGGAATCACTCTTCCAAGGGTTATGTAACTTTGCATCTTAAAGATCACATATCAAACTAAAATGCATTTAAAACTATTTTCAGATTTAGCTCTGCTAAAGTTTGCTGCATACACAAATTAATCTTGAATCACTTTGTATCAGAACTTGTGCATTTTTAAGGTGCTGCAATATTGTTTTTATAAACTAAGTTCCTCAGAAAGAGGAAAATATTTCCAATTGTCAATAGAAATGAGAAACCTAATTTTTCAAAGTAGTTCCACAAGTACAGAGGACATGATGTGGAGAGTAAATGAATTTTATACGACTGCCTAAAATCGGGGCAAGCCATAATTGCAAGAATTGCTACATCTGCCTTATAAACAGCTCCTTAATGTTGTGAAGGGTGTGTCTCTCTTCCTTGGCAGCAGTTGACTTGTTGATACAGAGGAGCCTCCCAAATCAACGAGCAATCAACAATAGCCTGTTGTTTTGTATAAGGAGAGGGTGAGTATGCGTCAGACACCTGGGATAATTCTCCCCACATTATATAACAGACCCAGGGGACATATCAAGCCATGATAAAAAGAGGGTTATTTTCTTCCAGCCAATGCAGAAAGACAGCAATAGGGGATTGGAGAATAATGCTAAAATACCTGTAGGCTCTCTAAACTGGGCATATGGCCAAGTGAACTGGAAAAACATTCACCCTCAGAACACAGCTGCTCTTTGATTACAAATAAACCCAGAAATAAATTCTCGGCTCATGTTTCAAATGTACTGATGAGGGTTTGGCACTGAGGAAGTTAAGAGCTGCTTTGCTTACTTACCCTTAGATATGTACACTAAGCATAAATTGCCTGGAGCATACATAGGAGAATTTGGCACCTTTTGGATGAGCTTAGATTTCCTTCACTTGGGCTTTCCAGAAGTAACAGCCACTTGTACTGTCATCAAAAATCATTCAAAGAACATATTGCATTCTATATTATTTCTCTGTGATTCTAAGGCCCCTCTATGATTCAAATGCAATACAAATATGTTGTAAAGATCAAAATGATTTATCTTGATGAACATGCAATAAAAGCGCAAGTAAGGCAATCAACATTAAGTGTATACTTGCTCTACATTTGGGGGAGAAAGCTTTAGCAATGCCTTAACTGAAAATAGAAAAGAATTTGGCATTAGGAACTAATTACATTAACTTAGTGACTGAGTTGACATTTCATACCAAGCCAAACTCTAATTCATTTGGGCTTATGTTAGCAAGTGTGAAACCAACCTCCATAGCTATCTCAAAGCAAAAATCCATTTGAAAATGTTTCAACTACTTTAGTTAAAATGACTATTGGACACAAAAATTATAAAAATATGCATTGCAAGAAGAAAAATATGCTTTTCTTCCTTTTCATAATATATACTAACCAATGAGAGTCATGGGTTAGAGATCCTAAAGCATATTGCACAATGTATAATCTATGAAACTTCTGGTTATTGGTAGAAATTAAAATTTTTAGAACAACGTTCACTTGATTTCTTCAGCCCTTTTCAACCAGATGCTATTTGCTATTCCCAAAATACCAGATTGTTATTGGTATTTTAATTCTTAACTTCTAACTCAATACTAGTTTTCAGAGGAAAATAGTTAAATTACAATCTTTGGAAAAATGAGATTAAATGATAAGTTTTTGTAAAACAACAGTAGTTATTTAGTTTGGGGTTAATGTGCAATTAACACAATAGAACATTTTGTCTCATATGTACAGAACATGACAGAAATAGTTCAGTATAAGATGGTTATAATTGTTTTGTTGCTGGGAATACTGTTTGGGAGGTAAAATCTGGTTTGGGTTTATCTGTTATTTGGATAGAAATCTGCAGGAATGCCAATATAACTAGAGTAATAAGGTCATTTTGTATTTCCAAGACATTATGTCAAGACATTATAAATGTGTATTTCTTATGTTCAGGAAGATGGCAAAAATATTACAGCATAAAGCAGTTTTTCAATTCCTGGAGTTTTTTTATATTTCTAGGGTTTAAAAAACATCTCATAAAAAGTTGCCAGTACTAACATTATGATTTTATAAAAGAAGATGGTTGGATATCTTTACTGCTATACCAAAAAGATATTTTGGTACCAATTTAGGAAGGCTGTGTTAGATAAATACATTGCATAAATTGAGTATATTAAAGCCTATTGATCATGACTGCTATATGGAATTATCATTTTTATAAATACTATTCAGTTTGAAACTATGAAAAACTGTTGCTTTCAAAACCAGTTTGTAAACAGTTACAAAACATGTTCTAGGAAAAAAAGATGTTGGATTTGCAAATATTTTTCTGATTTAGAAGTGTTCTTACAGAATGATTCCTAAGGTTTCATTTTTGGAAGAAGCAAACAGCAAAATACCATACAATCTGTTCTTCCTAATACAATCCTAAGGTTTCATTTTTGGAAGAAGCAAACAGCAAAATACCATACAATCTGTTCTTCCTAATACAACTACAGATTATATATATATCTGTAGTTGTATTAGGAAGAACAGATTGTATGGTATTTTGCTGTTTGCTTCTTCCAAAAATGAAACCTTAGAAATATATTAGCCAAGTATCACTCATACATCACGAAATCTTCATAACTATAAAGCCTACAAACTTGAAATTTGGCACATATGTTCCTCTTGAGCTCTTGGTCCTAAAAAAGAATTTTCTGAAATGACCATCAGATCATTACTATTTCTTAATACAGTAATTAACCTGCTCTGATGCTAGGGAATTCTACTCCCCCTCCCCACCTAAAAAGAACTCTGTCCCAACTGCCAGTTGCCTCACAAGATTGTGGAACAACAGTAGGTAGCAATCTTCACCATCACGCTCCATTATCCTGTAGCTGTAAAAGTTAGCAGCAGACACAGTCTTCTTGAGAGGACCCTTGGTCTTTGCGTCGCACTGAGGTATATTGATATAATAGCCATCTTATCAATAGCAGAACATCAGAGGGTACTGGCTGCTTACAGTACTAAACATCAGTACCTCACCAAAATGTCTATGCCTTCCATCTATGCAACTGCTTCTGGACTCAAGATGGCGGTAGTGATATTCCCTTATAAGTTTCAGTCAACGACCACCACTGAGCCAATGGATTGTGAACCGGATCTCTCTCTCTCTCTCTCTCTCTCTCTCTCTCTCTCTCTCTCTCTCT